TTTTTTATGAATTCTTAAATGAGAATAACTGAGTAAATTAGAAAATTATCAATGTCATTTTATACACTATACTGTGGGGTTCCTGTGTCGATCGTATGGTCAACACAGGAAGCCCGTATAAAGATATGGAATCTTTTTCGAAAATATAGAATTTAGAAATTGTAAATAGAGAATGTTTCAGATTATATTATAAAAATAGTCGATTTTTATTGAAATAAAATGGATTTCAAAACGCGTTTTGCTAGGATTGTCAGAAATCTTGGTTGTCCAATAACAAAMAGGTTTGTCATTCACTRTAACAGAGCGTAATATTTTTCGTTTGCGAGGGGGATTGTAATTAACTTTTTTAGTTAGAGGCTCATTCCTCAAACTGCCCCTTTTCCTGGTAAATATTGCGCAGTCCCTAATATACTATAGTGAGCGTTTTCCAAGAGGTGCATGATTATTTTTTGTCAGTATYGCAGAGATATTGCCCCAAACACCTCGTTTTCATGCGTGCGTCTGCGGTATTTTTATCAGCGGAAGCACATCTTGGAAATCTTCATCAATTGTTTTCGGTGCCTGCCGCAGGTGATTGTATTTSAGAGAATCAAAAAACGATGAACTGACAGGGATAAAAGGCGATTGATATTTACCTGCGAACTAATTAACATGTCCATTAGATGACAGCATGAATTATTTATTATTTTCAATAGAAAGTGATAAGTGATACATAATAGTTCGTGAAATACATATTAATATAAATTATATAAAATTACAATTTTCTCTGAAATATTTGAACGCTTTTCAAGTGCTTCACAAAGGAAGATTTGACTAAGAAAACTAATAAAGCGAAGACAAATTAACAGAATGTGACTGAAATGCATCACTGTTGAAGTTGAATAAAACAGAAAAACAAAACTAGAAAAAAATGAGTAGAGACGTACTGACGATTTCGGTTCGTAGCGAATCTTGTTGTTCTCCATGTTCTCCCGTACGAAAGAAATTATTGYCTTAATACAAAAACGCCGCAGAAACGCATTAGTGTCAACGGGATATCGGACGAGATGTGGAGCGGAGGATACAAGACGATCATTAAAATATGACCGCTCCATTAAATCAATAGAGTGTGAAACACAATAACACAGAAATACCGAAAACSTTATTCATAGGACGGTTATTTAAAAATGCCGCGTTTCTAAAGAGCGATGAATCTCTTATTCATATGATCACATATTAAAAATATTTTGATACTGACCAAACATTTTTGATATATAAGAATTGACAATTTGTAAAAATGGCATGCGAATGGAAGATAAAAAAGATTAAAAAAGATAGCAAAGAAGTTCTGATGGCTCATTTCGACGCGCGAAAAGCGAAAGAAACTAGCGCTAGCRGTGGAAAATGATTAAAAGAGAATAAAAAGAGATTATTTGTTTACTCTCAACTGACATATCCACCTGTTCAACACTTATTCTTAAGACAATTTGACATCCATTATGTCATAATGAGGGCAAGTTAACTTGTCACTCTGATTCTATAATTATACTCGCATTTTGTTTTGCTTTCGATCTCGGCTTTTCTTATCCCTAGACCTGTACTTATGAATAGATTTGTTTTACAGTGGAGTGTGTGTGCCATTTAAAATGAATAAAATRACTATTATTTCATATGACATTGTTAAGTCAACTAACCCGTGAAAGAACAGCCTAAATCGAGTGCAAATTGACGGTTTAACTCAGTATTTCGACCTTATAAGCAATGCATCATGAATACCGTAACTTTCCACTTTTTTACATTTATTTTTAGTTCACCTTTTCACTTTTTAGTTTTTCATTTTGAAATTTTCCTAGTGAAAAAAGTAATAATCTCATCCCTCGTCTCATTTGCGATCTTATTATTTTCTCTTTCACTCTCTCTCTTCTTTTTTTGTGGTTATTTTCAGTCTATTTTGGGTTCTGTGTCCTTCAGTTATTTTTTATTCTTATTCATCGTTCTCCTTTCTTCATTGTTACTTCTTAATGACTGTTCTTCCTTCTCTTTTCAATTTTGATTTCCTACTTGAAGCTCGTCGTAATGCGCATTAGTTGTATCAAATGGTGTATTTTTAGACCATGATGATATTTCAGTAACACTTAAAAAGATTGTTTTTAACACTCAGCCGATAGGAAAAGTCTTTGATGGACGGCAATAAATTAGTTTTTTTGCTCTCATTTTTCAATTTCATGGATAAAACACTTCTTCTGATTTATCAATTTGGAGAAGTGAGCGGAATAGTTTTTTCAGGGCCGTCAAAACAACTTAACTTAGTARACCAAATTTAGTTGATAGTTCACTAGACGGGTCGTCAGGCATTGAATGACAGAATGTCACATAGTAATTCATACCATTGTTTAATTTAGAAATCATTTTCATCTGTTGCCCAACATTGAATAGTAGTCTAGTTTTGGGAGAATGAGGAAAAAGGGAAAAGATAGCGAGAAAAGAGATGGAAAGGGAAGAGTAGATAAGAAGAGAAAAAACAGAAGAAAGAAAAAAGGGAAAAAGAGAGGGAAATGGAAATGAAAAGAAGAGCAAAAATCGGAACTTCAACTGACGATCATTTATGAAAAAGCGAAAAAGACAATGAAGAAAAAACAGAATCGAATTAAAAAGGGAGAAACGAGAAGAGAAGAGAGAGGCAACTTTTTCTCGGATTTGYAAGTCCTAACGAGACTGCAAAGAAACCGAATTATTCCATGTTATGAGATTTCAATATCAGAGAGGCGTACAAAACAAAAGTGTACATCATTAACATTTGAATTAAAAAAGAACTCGAATGTATTTGTATAAACAAAGAATAGATTACAAAGTAATATCTGAGACTGTAAGACAAATAAAAAAGTAAACAATAGCATTGTATTGCTTTTACAAGTCTAAACAAAACAATTTGCTGTTCATCCCGTAATAACAATAATCTTTTTTCCTTCCATATGTCATCGCATTAAAACAATCCGTAATAAAAACAAAATAGGGCAGCAATGCTAGACAATTTTAATAAAAAGGGGATTTTAAGCATGGTCTTATCTCAGCAATTAGTCTACCATGTAATTCCAGTTTGACTTTCCAGAACAAAAAATCAATAAAAAGCTTTCCAGACATCGTGGCGCCAGCCGATGAAGAGGAGCGGGTCATACAAACTTAACTTTATTGTTTCATTGCTCTTCACGGTTGGAAATTTGTCATTATTTTTGTTTTAACTCAGCAAGGAAACTGATTTGAAGTGTTTTTGCACTACTGCTATTTCACTATTTGAGCTCGAAGTTTACGTGTTTTTAAGGTGTGATGCCGTGACATTAAGGCCTCGTGATGTACATCGAGCACGTCCCAAGCCGGTCACACGTCCCGGTTGAAATCTGGACTTTTGAGTTTTCAAAATGGCGAAAATTGACCGGCGCCASTTTGTCCATTTTATTGTAAGCATAGTTAAATTCTAGCCAATGATAAGCTGATATTAGTGATTGGTTGCCCTCAGGGCAGCAGTGCCATCTAAAGCTTTGAATATACTTGCCAATCATTTTTCGTACGACTTCAGCCTGTCATACTAGCGTGAATAATAATCTCGACCTGTAGATCAAATTGCAATCGATTGTTCAGAGGACCGTGAACTYTTGCTWAGATAAAACGAACTCTRAGGCAATCTTTATTGAGAAATTTAGATTGAGAATCATTTTTAGTTTGTAGAGATAAATTTTCAGTGATTTTTGGTATGTTTTTCAGCTGTTTTGAGCGTCATTTTTCACTTGTATGTTGAGATTCGGACGTGCGGAACGAAGTAAACACACGGCCGCTGCTATAAATAGCATATGGTGACCAATGAATAGCTTCTCAAATCTACCAATCAAAACGCATGTAAGAATAATCATCTGATTTTTAACCAATGAAAAATTGTGTTATATGAAAAACTGTTGTTTTTCAAATCGTCACAAGCACACGCCCCCAGACCGGGTCAGAACCAAAACAAACTAAACCCGGCTTTGCTAAAGCGCGAGGCACTTTCCATCTAGAACACCAAAACCGGTCTACTTGCTAAATCAAGGAGCTGATCTGTCCAGAAAACTTCCCCATGCAATGTATTCCTCTCGAACGAGAGCGAAAAACGTATTGCTAGGGCAGAARGTATGTGCACCTTGGAAAGACGGCCTATATTATTCCGGTGTCATCGAAGCTGTGAAAAGTCGTCCAACCGGCGAGAGCACATTCACCATTCTTTTCGAAGATGGCTACATTGCTGAAGTTGACGAGGAAGATATCGTAGGTCCAAGCTTTGCTAAWGMTTCCTCGGTAAATCTGCAGGCTGGACAACGAGTGTTCGTGATGTACCACGGCCGAGAAGTTCCCGCAAAAGTCATGAAAAATAAGGCCGAGTGGACGAAAGTTGTCGTTCGAGTGATGGACCACGGAGAGCACTTGTTGACCGTACAAAAGGACGAAATACGATTACTAAAAGGACAAAAACAATCTTCAAAAGAAACRGAGGATCTTAACAACGAAGCTAAAGAGTGTCCCGTGCCCTGCAAGATAAAAGCTCATGGAATTGACGTCGGGTAAGCCTKCTAACGGAGTAAACAAGCTTTTCATCTCAAATTACCGGTAGCYTTGTTGTTCCAAATATTTTTTTCTTGTCGCCTTGAAGTTTGGTACTTTTTGGTGAATATCACGCTTACTTTTAACTAGATTTATCAATTGTATAACATTTTTATTGCTTCTATTGCACTGTTGTACGCGCGTTTTTGTGAATTCTCGAATAAGAACGCACTTGCGCCTCGGGATCAGTGTTATCGTGKTGTGTTAATCCAACAGTTTCTTTTTTACTTCCAGCCAATGTCCTTCAAAAAACCAAGAGAACTTAACTAGAAGTGAAGAAATGGCAGCTTTGGTTCTAACAGCTCTCTCAATCTCACCGGTGCTGAAGGACCAAGAGAATCGTAAGTCGATTTTTTTTTTGGAGTTTTGTTTTGAAATATATAATTACCTCAGCACTTTTRCGTTTCGTTCGCGCTTAGCCACACAAAAACTTCTAACTTGAATTTGAGAGTATTTTTTAATAACGAATTAAAGTGTAAATAACTGAGAACTAACATTTTGTGTGTTTTCTGTGCTTTTATAGCGTTTATGGACGAGCAAATTTTCTCCCCTTCTCCTGACTCTGGTACGGAAATGTTTTCAGCKTGTTCTCCACAATATAGTCTCTCGGAATCACCTATCGGCTCGACTTCACCATGTTCTCTCGATGAACTCAAGTACAACTCAACATATCATACTGATGAAGGAATTGCATTGGACTTTGTTAAGAAAGAACGCACTCGGAAAAGAAAGGTAAGCCGGAGCGATTCATATGTTTCGTTCACGTTGTAAACAAYATCATGTGATATGCTAATGTAAAGCCGGTCTTTTGTTTTGAAACCGGCTTCGCTAAAAATTACATTCAATCCATAAATCTATGAACCTTCTTTGTACACATTTTCATCTAAAAAAAGTTTCTWTTTCCCTGATATTAATGGCCAATTGTAATCTTTTTGGCGTGCTACGYTTAGACAAGTTCAGTTCGATTTATTTCTTTTTTTTTCGCTTTGAAAATGAACTTTTTTGCACGAGTGGCAAGTGTGCTATGAGGCACGCTTTGGATTTCAATAATTGGTTGGATGTTTTCTTAATAAAAACGCTATCCCATTGCATCAAATACAGCAACTCTGAGCAAATATCACATCGTCATCCAGTAGCAATATCGCTGCTAAAAACATTTCACGAACCTCGCTTCATTTCTGAGTTAAAATCCAATTTGATATGTTTTTTTTCTGTTATAATCAACATATCCGCCGTTGCGTTATTTACAATATTTTTTGTACTTTTTCGCTACAGAACAGTACATCGTCTACTGGATCCCTCAAAAAGGTTATCTACCTGTGTACTTGGCCTGGTTGTGGGAAATCATTGAGCACTGTGCAAGGAATAGTTCGTCACGTTCGAACGATTCATCTGGGGTAAGTCCCTTCGTCTTGTCAGCATCTTTTTGCGTGTTTTTGTTCATGTTCACAAAACCGCATTTCATTCGCCTTGTTTTGGATTGTTTGAACCATTATAACCTCTAAGTTTGATAATGAGATAAGGTAAAACATATTTTACAAATTAAAGCAAATAACAACATCAAAAATTCAAATAGGATTCGAATGATGGAAAGAAACATTTTAGAAAGGGAATTTCCCTTCGTTGTCACCCAAACGCACTTCTCAAATTTCCCTTCCATTTTTTTAGACCCAAGAGACATTCAGAAGATGGCTTCAGCGATGGTGAAGAGGAGTTCTATTTTACTGAAAAAGATGACGATCAGGATGATTTTGGTGACTTTTTCCCTCATCCCTTAGCCCTTTCACCTACTCCAACTCAATCGCACTTTGATATGGTCAAAAGTCCATGGGCTGAACCTTGCCCAAGTCCTGATATTGTCGAATCGACCGAAAACTCGCCACAGAATCTCCGCTTTAACTGGGATTTCCACATTTCTGATCAGACAAGCGCCGCTAAAACGGCTGCCTCAACAACCCGCTCGACCCAACCTGCACATCACAGAAAACTGAGAGGCGAAAGCAAGAAATGCCGCAAAGTCTATGGCATGGATAACCGGCATCTTTGGTGTACGCAGTGCCGTTGGAAAAAGGCATGCGTACGATTTGTTGATGGCTAAATGAGGATTTCGGCCTTCTCAAAGGACATATTGATGCCATGCTTTAGCAATGGGTTGTAAATAGATTATTTTTTCCTAATAGTCGAATTTATAATATCGCATCTATATATTTGATATTATTCAATGAATCCTTACGTCAATATATTCCACATATTGTAGTGGCGAGATGAGCGTTATTTTCCTGTTGCTCCAGTTTAACGGCATAAAGAGACGGAAATACATATTGCTAAGCACATATAAATAGATAAAACTCTAAAGAAATAAGTTATATTAAGTTATCTTTGCTCTTAGGAGCAAAACATGCCCCGAGTATTAAACATTATCGCATGGTCTTTGAGGGCTAGTAAGTTACAGCTTATCAGTAGAACTCTTAGCACATCGGGAGATAAAAAGCAAGAACATGAAATTTTGTTCTTAAATTATCAATAAAGTATACTTCAGAAATCTTTAATGTTGTTGTTACTTTCACTGGTAGTTCCAGAAAGACTTCAGGGGAAATCCCGCACTCGAGAGAAAAATCCCTCTAGTTCTTGGAGCCGTCGTAGAACGATCCTTGAGGAAAAGGATGAAGGAAGTGAACCCTTGATATCTGATATTCTTATTTTTAATAGCTGCAGCTATCTGTCTCAAGGGCTCTTTACTTTGGCAGTACTCCAGTATACTAAGATGTGACCTTTTAGACGAGACAACGCTGGATAATCTGATTCCAATCACTGTTGATGGTCAGTTTTTAGGTTTAAGGGTTTTTTTTTTTTTTCCATTTCCCCAGTAATGATTCTTTAGCTCAAAAAGAAAAATATAGCGTGGTATTTCATTTATGTGATCCAAAAGAAAAAAAAAGAAAATTGTCAATGTGTTAAAGTGACCCCCTCAAGTCGTTGACCGGTTTGCAGATGAAAAGTTTCAATCAGACGGACAGTTACGGCAAGAATTACTCTCGCGTCGATGATTGCGCATAGAAAATCCATATAATCATTGTCTCTATGCCATTTGATTTTTGTGTTATTTTCATGTTCACTAGTCAAATCGTAGCCTTCTCGATTAATCATCTTCTTCCAGGTCTCCGACGAAAAATCGACCGAGTTTCTTGAGCCTTCAAGCAAAGAACCTTAGYTTGACCCGTAATTAGCAGGGCGACTTGGCTTGCGACAATAGAAAAGAAAAACACAGAGACCAAAACAACAGAAATTGCTTAGAAAAAATATGTCAAAATGGCTTAAAAACACTTCAAAATTCTTGGATATTAAGTTGGCATCCTAGCAACCCGGTACTGTCGAGGTCAGTCAGATTTGAAGATGATTTTAATCCACGCACTAGCAGTTAGAATAATAATGATCATGATTCGATGATAACACACATTTCAAGTGATACATAACACGATTTTGTTCATTTCATTTCCTTTCTCATTTTCAAACTGACATTCATTTCATTCTATTCATGGTTGAAATGCTCCACTGTTTACCGTAGTGGACACTTTCTTGCTTCATATTCAGAGGATTCAGGTAAACAGACCTTCTCTACAAACCTTGCAAGTTTAGTCAAGAATAATTCTGTTTTTTTATCATTTGTCCAGTTGACAGGTTACTATTTACGCATGGTGGTTATATCAATTTCATTTTTGATGTTTTTTGGATCATTTCCAGCAAAATATGACCAAAATATAACATATGTCGATGCTTTTATCACTGAATTAATATTGGCGGTTTTTTGGTGTTTCTCTAATGGCAGGTACCGGTAAACTACAGACCAGGAAAGATCTGGCTAAAAGCCGCAGTAAAAGGATAATGAACGGGTCACAGCGGCGTGGAGTCCTATCAGTAATTATACTATTGCAGCACATCTATATATTTTTTCACTTTTATTAAGGATTTTGTTTTGAAAGCAGCTAATGCTGATCAGTCGATTAAACGTCGATCAATTTTGGCAAGAACTTTAGAATGTCACTCATTTTATAGGCTGAAAGTTAATACAATCAGTGAGATGTAATAGAACAGAAAAATTGGAGTCAAGATGATAAATGGGAACATTGCGCGCTTAATTTGTGGTTATCAATATGCAAATTTTATGTTCACGAATCGGTTCCATTGCGATAAAACAAATGGAAATGAAATTTAAAAGAAAAATTTAAATATAGATTATCTGACGCGATCTAGTTTACGGTTTTTCTCATTCTTCTGGAAGAAAACTGTATGATTCAGACAACAACGAGAAACTCAATTGTATYACTTTATACTTTAGCTGCAGAATCTAAACAAATTTTACTTAAATTTCCTCGAAACGCACATCATCTTTTACATGTATTTTCAACAAAAATGAAAACGAACAAAAATGAAAACGCGCACAACGTGGGTACTGACAGCTCCAATACATGTGTTTGATTACAAAAAAACGAAAGCAAAACTCTAAAAAAGCCGGGTAATTGATTAGAATTCTGTTCCGTTCAACTGAAGCTTTCATTGTGGCCTCGAACAAAATACAAAGAAGACCGGATACGATTTGTCCGCTTATGAACACGAACAGATTTGAATAAAATAAAAACATGATTAACCGCAACCGTTACAGTAGCTGATTTTAGCTTCAGTGTTATTTGACTATTTTTACTTGAAACGTTTAATGTTTTTGATATTTTGTTTCTTGTAGGGAGGCGTCGAATCTGATATGTACGTTCGTTTGGTGAGTTGTTGGCAGCAATTTTCACCTCTCATCAAAAGTAAACACGATAAAGCTCTAGGCTAAGTACGTCACGTACGACTGACAGAACAATGGATTGCTTTGTATGACTACCAGAGTACTTAGACTCGCTCTCTGCATGCAAAAACACGACATAATACGACATGTTGTAAAGAATAACATGTGTACATCTTTGAAAACACTAAAACGTGTTTCTTTGGCTTGTGTAAAGGTTATAAAAAATTGTGCTTCCGGTATACAAAATCATTGCGTTACATGTCACGGTTGGCTTTTGGGCTAATTTGCATAAAGTAACGCTACTTACTCGTGACCAGGCCCTTGGCCGGGTCACGAGTCAGAAAATGCAGCGCGTATAGTTTTGTTTTGTTTTTTCTATGTGAGACCTTTGTCTTCGGGCTGACCTTTGCGTCCCGAACGCATATCACATTGCGAACTCGGGTGTACCTTTGCTCCCCGATCGCACTCCGATCTCTAAACGAAATATCACATTACGAACTCGGCTGTAAACAAGCGTATMATAGAASAGCAAAACTGCTCGGGATTTACTGTATCTTTTATACTAACGAGATATAAATCAATACTTCGTAGATAAACGAAGACCGTGGATGTGTCATACAGCGCGCAGTCGCACGCAGTTTGAATTGAAATATTCGTCAAAACTCAGAATTATCGAGGGCGGGTAATCTTCGAGTTACGCGCTTCGAGTTACGCGCTTCGAGTTACGCGCTTTTCGAGTTACGCGCTTTTAAATGAAAATCAATTTAAATGAACAGAATCACGCCATTTCTTCACAAAGTCACTCAACAATGTTTTTTTTGAATATATTTCTATCATTGGAGGTGACAAAACAAAAAGGAAAACAATGACTTTTCACGATGATGCATGATATCAATGGAGATCAATGTGGGTTGTGTACTAACATTCAATTAATGATACGTCGAAAGCCCCTCGTTAATGGGTTAATTGAGGACGGACTTAATTGAGGAGGAATTTAGCAAATACAAATTAACTTGCATTGTGAAGATAAAGAGAAGCCATTTCTGTTAGTAGATTTAAAAAAGACGTACATATTGGTGTACGTGATATTCCAATTTATCTTTCTATCAAAGGTCGAATGATAGACGACCCTTACATCATAGAAGTATCTATTTCATCAATGTGAACGCAAGAAGTTGTTGTGAATAGTGTATTGAAAATAACTGAATGTGAAATATTAGCTAAGCTATAACATATTTACCTATAGAGTACTCACAAAAATACTATTTTATAGCGGAGATACAAGCGATTTTATGGTCGGCTTACCACTGAAACGCTTTGTAATTTGGGCTCGTTCATAACGAAAAGAACGCGACCAAATTTACAAGCGTTCGTATGTAGTCACCCGACGATAAAATCGCTTGTATATCCGCTATAAAAGACACTATAAGAGTCTCATATTGAGCAAGGATGCATTAAATCATGCACTTTCAGAATATGGAGACCAAATTTAAAAACTCAAACATTTTCAAACATTTTCCAGCAGCCTAAAAGGGCTACCATTTGTAATTTTAAAACTTGACATATTTCATATTCTATATATATTTTATATATTTTGCTTCAAAAATAAAAGCCGTAAAAGCAATGAACTCTTTTTTATATTGATTTTAATTTAAAAGCGCGTAACTCGAAGGCACTAAGCTATTTTAGTTACATCGAGTTACGCGCTAGGCGCGTAACTCGAAGACACTAATGTATGTTAGTTGCATCGAGTTATGCGCTGGGCGTGGCCGAGGCAAATTTGGGCGTGGTCGAGCGCGTAACTCGAAAAGCGCATAACTCGAAGCGCGTAACTCGAAGCGCGTAACTCGAAGATTACCCGATCCC